ATGTGCAGACCCAAACCAAAACCAAACAATGCACTTAGCTAAGGTTCCTACTTAAGAGGTAAGTCTTTAATAAAAACATGTTTCAAATACATAGATTCATTTTTAAAAAGGCTCCTTTTCAAAAACAGCTGGTCACTTTTGCTTGAGAGAGTATTTGGTGCAGCACAACGGTGTATGTGGGATTGAGTCAAAATAAACTAATGAAGGAACATGTCACCCAGTGCAACAGTGTGGCTCAGTGATGTTTTTTAATAGTTTCTGGAAAACAATGGAGCTCTATGACACAGAGGAATAAGATATATCAGGCTTTGATACACACACAACACTAATTAGTACATTCATTGTTGGTTTGAGTCCGCACATGGGATTTTTGGCAATGAGATTAATTTAGAACATGAACATGAACATGTACATACATATATATATATAGGGCAGACTGTTTACTGTATACTATATCAGAGTACATTTTCATAAAAACTCAACAACTAAGTTCTTGAGAAATGTTTTCTTTGTCAACTCCGTGTGGTGATTCATGTAAAATGCTTATATTGAGATATTTGTTTCACTTCAATATATAAAGTCTTACAGACAAACTGTTTCTCCAGCACCATGGACAGCACCTTAAAAAAATCATTACAGTTCTGTGTATTTGCTCTTTATTGCCCATTTAGCAAATGCTCCTGACATATCAAATGAAAGTATTGAGCTTTTTCCTCCATATATATGTAAGTAGTGCAGTTACTACTTACTTTATAGGATGACATTTTATAGGCATGCAGGTGTCTTCTACTCCAGATCAACGTGGAGGTGTGAGTATGGCTGGTAACATCTTTTGGGTTATTCAGTGTTTCAAACATTTTACTTTGCTCAGAGCAGTAAATCATAATGCTAGAAATAGTAATAACACAATAAGACAATAATAATGTCATTGCCGTATCTAGGTGGCTACGTGTGGCCTCAAAACTACATATTTCTTATGTTTATGAAGTGCTTCACATGGCTTGGGTGTCATGATATGTATTAATGCAGATCATTTTTCTTTTCATCCTGCCATTCACTCCTCTCACGCATACTCACTCATAGTTTCTTTGCTGTCATCATATGGGTCTGTTAATTGATATCAGCTGGTCTCATCTATCCAATAGCACAGCGACAAACTTTCTTTGTTAGCCTATCATCTTGTGGCTGTCTTTTCAAATATGATTCTCTCTCTAAGCCCTCAGTTCACTGCCATTGTGTATGCCCCTCCACCTCCCCGTCACCACCCAGCCTTCGCAGATTCATCAGCTTCTCCATTACCTCAGCTTCCTCAGCCATCAGCCTCAGCAGAGTCATCAGTCACCACCACCAGCAGTGTCTCTTGCTGCCGTTCAGAGCAAGCTGTTCCATCAGTTGTTAAAATAAATATTATCTTATCTATGATCTATATTCAGCGGAATATTAATGCAGATATAATTATATAATTATATCTATATATATATATAGATATAATTATTTTTTTCATGTTTAAAGAAGAAACAAACTACATTTATGACTCAGACAGACGGAGCAACAGCTGTGCTAATGATGTACTTTATTCCTTAACTTTATGCAGTTGTAGCAACAAACAAAGTCTCATCATCCTGATATTGTATTCTGCAGCTTGATCCTTTATCAGGTAAAGACAGACAAATATTTTACATGTTCATTTATTCAAAATGACATTACAAAAACTTTAAACAGTGAAATTTGAATGCAGCTTGAGCAGTAAAACACTGGCTAAAGTAACAGTGTGTAAGTGTGTGTGTGTGACACTCGCCCACAGTAACAGTGATTTCCTGTCAGCTTGCAGCATCACAACAGGATGAATCCTTGTTACTGACAGCAACACGTCACTATCATTTTCAATAACGGTCTTTATGTCTGTCTGTCTGCCGGCTGACTGACAGAAACTCCAACCAGCTTTACAGTGCTGAGAGATGACACTGACCTGCATGCAAACACACGTACACAGAGAGAGAGTTCATGTTGAATTGTCACATATAATCATACCGGTACAATCATAGTGTTACTGATAAAGACTCCTGGTCTTAAAGTCAAGGTTAAGTCCAAAGGTTTCCTTAGATAAGCTTGTAGAGTCCAACACAAAGATCAAAAGAGGAGGAGAACAAACACTGAAGAGATAAGCTGATAAATCAGGATACAACTTAAAATATTTTGTTAAATTAACAGGATGTTCAGCGTTTTCATACCTGATCAAAACACATTTCTGATTATTTGGGATGTGTGTTGGATTATTCTCATACTTCAACACTACCTCTTTTTTTCATTTAAAAAAAAATCAGCACTTAGGTCAGTGGATTTTCAGGCATTAAATTAGTGATATTAACTGTATAATCAACCAGCAAGCGAAGAGTTCATGAAGTCACTGGCCAAGAAATAACAATGTCTCATTTTGTACAGATTAAACAAACCAGTTGTAATGTGTCCAAATGCATGTTTAATTAAAATTAATGATAATAGATATGGTAATCTTATCATCATTTAACTAGAAATATATTAGTATTTTTACTCAAACAGTTTAATTGATCAATTTCCTGTTGATTGACCGATTGATCAATCAGCTGCTCCTATTTAATATGTAAACCTAAGACTTCCTCCTCTAATAAAAACATCAGTATTCCCTGTTGCCTGCAGCCTCATTAACAAAGCACAGAAACATGGTGACACTTAGTTTTAGTAGCTTCTGCACTCTTTTCATTTACACTCAATCAACTGTATTGATCTGAGACCCGTGATTCACCATCCATGACTACAGAATCACGTCCTGTGCATATTCACACACACACACACACACACACACACACACACACAGTAGAAAACAGATTATAGATATCCTGGCATCAAGGACACATTGCTCCCCGGGGACACGCTGCTGCTCGTTCTCACTTTAGTCAATATTACCTTCACATGCACCACTTATGTGGCAGCAAGTGTATTAATGTGTGTGTTTTGCCAGAGGGCAGCGTGGCTTGTTGAAAGTGGAAATCAGAACATAAATGTGATGGTGTTAGGGTAAAAGTGGCAGAGCCAGCTGCGCAGAGTAGGACTGGGAAGGATTGAAGGGTCATTTGACAGTGAACTTTTTGCACATAGACATTTTACCGTCTTTATCGACATGCACGGGGTGATGCAAATACGCATTTCTGGCCGACTGCAAAGGGCAGTAATGCAAAAGTGTAGCAACGCAAACATTTCTGCCAAATGAAAAGAACAACCTCAGCTGTGTGATGTCTTGTAGTGACACAAGATTGTGTAAATCAATCTTTAAGAGGACACTGGAACACTTATGGGACAGTATTTAACATGTTTGTTAGATCTGCATTTTCTCTGATATTACCATCACATTTAATGACGGTGAAATGTGAACGGATCACAAATAATGATCAATATTATAGAAAATTAACAGTCTGTGCTAAGTGTTTCTCTTTTTAAAAAAAAGGTCCAGTGTGTAACATTTAGGAGACATATTGTCAGAAATGGAATATAATATTATTTCATTAGTGTATAAACACCTGAAAATAAGAATCGTTGTGTTTTCATTACCTTAGTATGTTGAACCACCTTGTTTCTACAGTAGCCCAGAATGGACAAACCAAACACTTTCAAATTCTAATATTAAATTAAGCGATCAATACACGAGCATAATGTAAAAATGTGGTCTTCTTTTAAACTATGAGGTTTAGTAGAATTTCCTTGAATTATTTTAATGATTTATGTGCACACAACCAATCGCAGGCCAAAACATTGTTACATTTATTTTATTCATCTACATTATTTTAATTATAAAAGCCAGAAGTGGCACCAAACAAAGAGCCATCGGGGAGCCAAACGAGCCAGCTCTTATTGCTGAGCTGAGCCAAATCACTGAATTCCCATCACTACTATTTATGTTATAAGGCATGCAAATGTGTAAATGGTTTAATCTGAGCCAGTCTGATCAGTCCTTGTAAAGGATCCAAATGGATGCTAGCGTTGCTCCATGCGTCAGCGTGCTTTAATGTTTTTTTTGCCCCCTAGTGTTCAGAAATAAGATTAAAGCGGCTTTAATAAAACATTAAACATTAATTAGTGTTTGTTTCCCTTTAAAACCTAGATGTTATTAGCTGTGAGGGTGTGTTCATCCATTTCGCATTCAAAAGGCACAAAGTCACACTCCTCATTGAAATGTACAGCAGACTTAAACTGAAGCTCGATAAATGGTCCGTCTCTGGTCCCGAACCTGAAC